CACAAGTCCGAAAGCTCGAGAAACTAAACCTCTGGCCCGGTGACCAATCCGGATTGTATTCTGCATAGGTAATGAGGTTAAAAGTTTGGAAGCACTGCATTAAACCATGGCTGAGTTCACAATAGGTTACAATGTGGTTTACAAACCGCAATGGCTATGCTCATATTTCTAGATCGCTGGAATTGACTTTATTTCATAAATAATATAGTACTAGTGATTTCTACAGAAACTTGCTACCACTGGCATAATTAAACTAATTTTTACATAGAAAATTGCATGAACAAATGATTATTATCCATACCCTCTGAAGTCCTTAGAAACATAGAAATGTACTTCATGTCTCATGTAAAACACATTATACACATACACAAATATCAATTACACTATGTTGTTTTTGCATTACTACATGGTTTATTTCAAGTATCTAATTTTTAAATTGTCATTTCACTGCGTGCAAAATATATCTTCTCAAAATCGTTATTCTAATATCTTTAAAATGGTCAATACACTGTTAAAAGTTAGTCAATATTGCAACTGTTTCAATAAGCAGTAGCAGATTATGTTTTAAGTTCTGCTGCATTGTAATAGTTCCTTTCAAAAAACAATAAACCTGTACCTTAACTTAGCCTTAATGACTGCTAAATTGACATGTCCAGATTATTGTTTTCAACATTTATTTTAACGGATAAAATTCTCATTCTATTTACAATTGTTAACCTCAATCAATATACTAGTCAAAATGTATAACACACAAAAAATAGTTTCAAAAAACAATTTAAAAAAATACTTAACTCAAATTTTCCTTTTTAAAACTTTTTAAAATAAATTATATTTATCTTAATATCTATTACTGCATTAATACGTACCAGGAGGGAGAGAGAAATAACTAATGCCTAATATTAATGTCCCCAATGAATACAATACAGTTGCAAATTGTGTATGCTTAAAAAGATTCTCCCAAGATGATACTAATAATATAAACTATTACCAATTCCTCCAAGATAATTCACCTTCTAGATATAAACTACATGTAAGTTACAATTGTAGAAGGCATGTGAATTGAATATAATGCCAACAAAGAACGTGTGGGTGTTTCAAATATACATACATACATACATACATACATACATACATACATACATATATATACACATATATATACACACATATATATATACACACACATATATATATATACACATATATATATATACATATATATATATACACACATATATATATACACACATATATATATACACATATATATACACATACACATACACATACACACACACACACACACACACACACATACACATTTTTACTTTATTCTTATAATCAACTATTCTCTTTTTTCTTATTCTTATAATCAGCAGTCACCTGATCTGTTCCCCCTTTTTTTCTGCAGACATGATACATTTCAGCACTTGTATAGGCCAGATTTCCTTCATGTGGCTTTTTAGGTAAAACTGCTAGCCTATTAATTAAGAGAATAATGGAGGTTTGCATGAAAACAATATTAATACTATCTAGGAAACAGCAGCAATGCCTTAGTCTTTGCACTGGCCTTGGGTGCCAACTCATGCAGCTTACTTACAAAAATAATTGATGTTTTACAATCTGATAATCCAAGTGCACCCAAACTAAAGCAAACCGGGATAAACTGTATCTTTCGGTGGAAAACAAAATATATTTCTATTTGCTTGATGAATGAAAGCAGTATTAGACTCCTAATATTTTTAATCAAGGTGCTAAAGCTGAATTAGTTATGTAAGTTTATTGAAATAAAAAACATGGTGCAATTCCATGACATATAAATAAGACTCAGAAACACTGTGTGCTATGTGTGTTATGTGTTATCATAATTATTTTAAGGACACATAATATATCCCAAGATGCATTAGGCAGCCTAAAATAAAAGCATGCATTTCTTTATAACTCCAGAACAGCAAACACCAGGAGGATTAAATTATTTAGAAAAGAAATACACACCAAAAATAGTTCATTTCAATAAAAAAAGAAGAACTTTAAAAATGTGCTGCTATAGAATAAAAAAGTTATCTATTAGAGGACAGATTTCTTTTATCTGAAGTTCTACTGCAGCAAATAAATACAACAGCTTTCATTCAGTGATTGTCAAAAAACTTTCCAATGTGCCCACTGCAATGCAGATGCCAACCAACGAATCAAAGGCATTCAGAAACTAGACAAAGAGGGTTTGATGCCAACCTCGGTGCCACTGGCAACCATTATTGGCATCAAGCACATTGTCTGCTTTTCCTCCCCCACTCTGCTGGCACTTGACAAACAAAATGGCGGTTCTTGTAGAAACGGAACACAGCATAAGAGCTGTACTGATTGAATCAAATATTACCAACTGATTTTATAGACTGAAACACAGCCTATACCAAATAAAAGAAACTAATAAACATATCCTTTTCAGTTAAGCAAGATACTGTAATCCTAATTCTTAATTTTGAATGAATTTAACTAGAACATGTAACATTTAAATTAATGTTATTAAAACAGGCTTTTTGCTTCATCTGCACACCTGTAGACCACAAATTATTTTAAAGACTATTTTCTGCCCTTAGCTAGCAAAAGGAATCAACATCAATCAAATAAGAATTTAATTCTCTTGTGTTTTGAAACTTTAAGATGGGAATTCTGGAAAAAAACTGATGGCAAAAGAGAGAGGGCAGGTCTTTGTTTTTGTTTTTAAAAAAGAGTTATATACTGTCAATACCATAACTTGGTAGACTGGTAGATTTGGAAAAACTGAAAAATACTCTCCAGCAAATAATAAAAGTGACTTATATTTCTATATCAAGAAATTATCAATATATTGTAGCATTACTCTGCTCTGCAATGCGGATACCAAGTAACAAATCACAGGCATTCTAGTCTAAACAAAGAAGGTCCAATGCCAACCTTGGTGCCACTGGCAACCATTTCTGGCTCTCAAACTATTCTTCCTCATGTTTTTGCCAATGTTTCAATATAGCTCTATTTTATTCTTTCATTCATTCAAGAATTTTATCTTTTTTTCTCTCCATGAATTTTTCTTATCATCCCACCCATTAACCAATGAAACAATACCAAGTAGCTATTCATGTACTTAGCTAGAAAACCAACTCTCTTTAAAAATATTTTAGTTTGCTATAACTCATGTATATATGTAACCAGCCGAAGCTACCTTGAGAATAATTCAAACCTAGAATCTTATTCTATACAAAGGAAAAATGAACATATATTTCTACCACAAAAACAGTAACTCCAAAACATGGAGTTTTGTATCACTTGTGATAGTGTCCTTCTATAGGTAGCTTAATATAGAGATACCAACTTTTCATCCACAATTGTCACTAACTGAAAGAATATTGGAAAAATCCAATCATCTTAAAAAACATTTACAGAAGTTATTTTGACAATTCATACACAGACCCTAGTATCATCTGATATCATCAATGTTTTACAGGAATCCATCTCTCAATGCAAGCAAACATAGCATCCAAAGAAATATATATGCACAGATATAAAAATGCTGTATTCATTTTATTTTCAAATACAGGTGACTTTCTAATGGAGATAATATGCAACCAAGTAAAATATTCCATCATAAAGTCCCTGACTACGTACAACTGTTCTACTTATAGTTAACAGAACTATATTAACTATATTTAACACTTGTTTCAGTTACTAATATTATGTTTTTAAATACTCTTTGAGGTGAAGGGAATATATAGTTCATATAATCAGATCGAAATTTTCACTATTGATTGTTTTTCTTTCAAGATTAATTTGTAGTGTATTTAAATTCATATAATCCTAAATGAGGGTCTCCTTCAATTCCACTCAAAGATTGCAGACTTAGATTACAAGAATTTTCAAATGCATATCACAGCAAAGCTTAGAAGGTTAGCCATGCTAAACTCACATTGAGACCAATGGAACGTAAATAATATTCACTTGCTCTAAAGTGGAACTCAGTTTTATAACTGCTTTCATTATTGAAAAAGAGAACTGTCTGTTTTTATGGTAAATGTTTGTTTTTCACGGTAAAGATACTATACAGTAACTGTATAAAGTTAGAAGTTAACAACGACAATATTGGACTGAATTATACAAAATCAACACTAGGAATATCAAGAAAAAGCCAAGTCTTTTGGTAGTATCACCAGAAACATGCAAAATAATTTTACTTTTTAATATTTGTATTCACATTCCCCATCCATCTTTCTTTTGGCAGTTTCTAGAACCAGGCCAATTTATGTAAAAAGCCGCCATCTGCAAATTCTCCACGATTATAACTTAGACATATTTATTATGTGGCTCTAGAAACAATCTACCATAATGGTTAAAGGCTTTAATGTAAAAAATGTATGTAACAAAAAACATAACAAATTCTACATTAGATCAAATATCATCACTGAAAACAAATCATCTAAGTAGATATACAATCATAACGTTAGCCATAAAAGTGTTTCATTACATTATAATTTAAAACAACAATATCGAAGCAATGTTTAAAATGTGTGCAGAAGTTATTGTTTACCTCAAAATTTGGAGAAATGCCACACTATGAACACTGATAATGCGGCTGCATAACAATATATATAAAATAACATGCCATTTTTTCATTCTTTTATATTTAATGGTTCTATTTTCATAATGAAGACAGAACAATGGCAAATAAGTATCTATTAATTTTAAAATATGAATACAATTGTTATGAATATATATGCTATGAATATATTCTGTAACACACACCAAAATCATTCCTAGTATTTTTCAACTTTTATAACAAATGTTAATGTGTATTTTGTATATTCCTGCATCTACTGTATACATTAGCAAGCACATATCAATATCTATAAACATATATGAAATGTTTAAAGCTTTTTTAAAAACAAAAACAAAAAGGTGGTTTAGCATTTTCATGTGCATATGTGTATAAATATCTAAATAAATAAATAAAATATTTTTAAAAGCCCTACCTTGATCCTGCACATAATATGCCAGAAACAAATCAAGCTCCTTGACTGATACTGTTATGTGATGTGGCTGAACGCAAAGTGCTGGATTTGTGCAATGGGGGGATTTCATGAGCCGTTCTCCATCGGTACTTTCCAGGGGGATACCTTTAAAAAGGATCACCATGACTAGATCCAGGCGCCAGACTTTGTCTGCTTGCCTAAGGCAGTCGATTCTCCTAATCTTGCCCTTTTGGTCAGGATTGGATAATACACAGCATGGGTGCTTCTTCCCAGTAACAGTAAGCACAAAATCCTCTCGATATTCTTGGCGGATATCTTTGCGCAATTTGGCGAGAAGCCTGGATGCCCACTTCTGTTTAATTTCTGGCTTTTCACTAAGTAACTCATCCTTGACTGCTCTTTCTTCATCTTTTGACATTCGTTTTTCATGTTTTTTAAAGTACTTGCGTTTTCGAGCCTGAAGGTTGAACCACGTATAGGCAATTGCACGGACATGTGGAAGAAGTGCCTCAATGAATGGGTGAAATTCATCCTGTTGGAAGAAACAAATAGAAAAACAAAACTTCAGGGACCAGTTTTACTTATACAATCACAAACAATTATTTTTTGGGTGGGAATAAAAAGTTATGTCATGAGCATTCCTAAACATTTTTAGCAGGCTTACAATTCCTAGAAAAGATACATACATATTAAAAAAGTGTATGTGGATAATTCACTTATGGGAGTAATATTTTATAATATACCAATTCCTTGGGCTTGATTCAAAACTGACATACAATTATATTAGTTTAAAATCAAACAAAATGGCTTTGGGATTTTGAATGCTTTGGCTGTGATTTAACAAACGACAAATAATGGTACAGCAAATTTTAAAAAATATTAAAAATGTAGAAGTTAATATTGCAAATCATTCACATTCTGTATTCAGAAACATTATGGTATTTATGTTCAATGTTGCATTATGTAGTTTTCACTTTTGTCATCAGCAAAAGTCTGATGATAACACAAACGCCATGAACAATGAAAATATAACTCAATCCCTTATTAATCACCCAACATTCCAGTTATTATAGTATTATTCTAGCAGGAATAACTACAGAAATCAAGAAATAAGGCAAGAAAGGCCAAAGGAAAGACATCGTTCTAATAAAATTAGGGTATCTTATAGCGTTCACCAGATGCACGTTTCCCTGCTTAACTTTACAAAAAAAAAAAAAAAATACTGAAAAATTACATGGAACCGAATTGTTTCATTCCACTATGGGGTACAAAATTTCACGGAATTAATTACCTATTAACTCAAGGATGGTTCTGAAGTATGTAATAATTATTTCACTCCACCACCACCACCCCAAAAAAACCTTTTAGGTACACAAAGAAAAAAGGATAATTTGAAACAAACTTTGCTTACTTTGTGATCTAACACACAGTGGCAATGTGACATTAATACTGCGTTATTGGGTAAACTTTTTTTCCTGAAATACATAGATATATTGGACTTGCAAACTTTTCCTTTTACAGGCTTTACCTAACTATTCATACATATTTTTGATATTTTATTATTTGTTTAAATTGACTAAACTTTGGTTAATACTAGCAATTACTTTATTTTGATCAATAAGAACTACTAAGGTGTTTTGCCTCAATTTCCATCATTGTCACATACAGTATATAATTTACTTCAAAGAAAAATTATCTCTATAGTCCTGGCACCTATCATAAGATTTGAAAGAAAATTGTGACAAAAGAGAGAAATGTTACTCATTCATTTGTTTGACCTATTATTTTTTTAGACCATATTTAATTCAAATTGGATTTAAATCATAATACTGTAAAATATTGACACAAAAATTAGTCCTGATATAATTAAATTGTACTTTTCAAGCCAAATGTAGCATATATATTAATACTAAAATACTTAAAATTAATGACATTTGTTTTCCAATTAAGAATCCTATATTTAAGATTGAGAACATGAAATGTATTAAAATTCAATTCAAAATTCCTGTAGAGTTTTATCAAACAGTTCATACAATCAACTAAATTACTCAACAAAAGTTCATGCAAAATATTTACAGCGAATACTGAAATGTTCTTTAAATTGAATCCTGTATTTTTATAAGTAAATATAGCAAGATTTTATAATAACACCTAATAGTAAGACTTTTCAAGAAGTACTGTAAGACCTGCAATGGTTTGGTTTTATATATGTCTCTTTCCTTTTTAGGGCAGACATTAATCAAAGTAGAATAGAAATACAGGGCATAAAAAGAATTATAATACAATTAAAACAAGGTTTCAAGCAATTACTAAAGTGATAAGCCATTCTACACAGGGACTTTTAAGTTTTCTGTTACTTTAAGGGCACAAACTACATTAAGGAAAGAGTTAAACCACAATCTGCTCTTTGTGTGGGAAGAGAGCACAGCTTAGAGCAACCACAGCCCTCGATAAGACTTCCCTATCTCAGTGCTCTGATGCCATTTTTTTAATACCAGAGTTTCTTTTTCTCAGAAACTGAGTGCTATAGAATTCTTAGTAAAACATGTATTTCAATAAGAAACTTCATTCATTACTTTTAACTTTTATAAGAAATTATTAAAAAGTCTAGGAATTGAATTGTTAGAAACTAGGTCTAGTATGTTTAAAAATTATTTTACAATATATATTACCCCATAAATTCCAAACAAAGATCTTGTGATATTGACATTTCAGATCATGGTATTTGGCATTTTAACAAAAAAAAAACCTATGAAGTTTTGGGTTTTTATTTTATTTTATTTTAATCACATTTAGGCAACTACAGACCTACCTGAATGCAACAGTGCATGGTGTCTGTGATTACTATTACTATTGTACTCTGTGTTTTTAAAATTATACACACTGGTTTCAAATTCTAATTTTACCTATAAAGTTTCCAGAATGTATTTACTGCTATAAAAATGCAGCTATAAAATCCAAGTTATCTGATAAAAAAATACATTCGTGTTTTTCAGCTCCTGCATTAAATAATGGATGTTGGCTTAAAATTCATATTTAAATAAAATTACGGTAAGTCACTGATATACATATCAACTATTGTAACATTCCAAAATATTGTTGAAATAAAAACTGTTTTTCAAGTAAAACTTACATTACACAGGTCTCTTCAAAAATGCTTACACACTATAAAATCTGATATTTTGAAAGATGCACAATGTAAGAAAAAGTTGTATTTTGCAGATTACAATAAAAACAAAGAGCAAACTTTGTAACAGATAAATCAAGCTTTAGTTATTTTAAACCATAATACTTATGAATCTACAATCATTGTCAATTTCCACAATATCTTCATGTTATTTACCTTCCGCTATAAAAAAAACTTATTTTTTCTCCAGAAAAAAGAAAAGAAAATGATTTCCCATTTCTATTTTACCTTCCTATTAGTTTGTTAAATGAATTCAGAAAATTATTTCACAAAATAAAGTTAACACTGCAAAGGTATAGCCAAAGGCACACACACTTATGTTTAATTTTCAATTTATTAATTCTAGCTTTGATATAAAATACCATAAATCTGTATTTACTGCTGGGCTACTTCTTTAAAAAAAGACTTCAGCTGTGAGTACTAACAAACATAGGGAACTATTCATGAACCTAAAAACTAAGTTTATATTAATTACACAAAAAGAGGAATGTGTTCAGATAATCCTGTTTTATTTAACCAGGTTAGGTTTCCAAGATACAAAATGTCTATTGACACCTTATTTATTCTTATATCTTATAGATTTCAATGCAACTTAATTTGACTCCAAAGTAACCACAACCATACAAAGTAACCGCTCCTAAAATCCAACTATTTTTATATAGATTCTTTTTTAAAGGTTATCAAATGCATGTTCTATACCATTTTTAGCCTATCAGATATTTATTTTCCTCATTTCTAAGATTTCTAACAACAAATATATTATAAAATACTGGTAGTACAATATTATATTCACCATAAACCTGCTCTGCAAACATGGGACAATGGGTATGTATTCAAAATTTGAGGGGGGGGGGTGATGGTGTCTGAATTTTGTCCCAACTGTTCTTATAACTATTCATTCTTCAAGTCTGTGAATTATAAATTCACAAACTAAATAGAAAACCAGCTTAGAAATCATTTGGGCAAAGCAATACACATTTCATTTCAAAACCAGTGGGCATTTTGTTGAAACACTTGACTTATCTTAAATTGGTCGATACTAGGTTTGCCGTAAAACTGTTTCAGACTTGTAGATTGCATGCAAACTTCACCTAAATAATTTATTTTGTTTTGGAAAAGACAAAGTGACATTTAATGCTATGCTTATGGTAAATAAGCAAGTCATAAAACTTGCTTAATAACAGCCAAGGAAAATTTTAATACTTCGATTGTAATAAGTTCAGGCACAAATACCTATTCTAAAACATTTCTGTGAACTGAGACTTTAGGCCAGAAACAAGAATGGATAATACCTTATGTTACAAATAAAGCATATTACATTAAAAACTTAAGCTAAATTTTCAGCTACACCTATCACCACAGAAACCCAAACATATGATCCTAGACCAAAGTCAAATCATGGCTTTGCAAGGGAATCCTAGGAAACTAACTAATATGTGTTCTATATGGCTAGTAGAAGTCCCCTTAAGTATTAAATGTTATACATGAAAACAGTATATTGAATTTTACAATGTTCTGCCAACTGATCAAGAGGCATAAAACATGTGTGCGCATTGAAGTGTAAGTGCTGACTTTTTATAATTTCTCAAATACCTCAGAACATTTTTACACCTGTTTTGCATCAGTAAAGTTCCCATTTACTTGTTAAAAAGATTCCAAAGTTAATCACACTTTGATGCCAAACAAAATATAAACAATAAAAACGTGTCAGCCAAAAAGCTACAGGACTGTATCCAATCACTGAATAATCCTTATCATTGTTTAAATCTTCATTCATAATTTGTGAATGCTCCAGTCCAATAGAATTACAATGGCTTCCAATTGTCAAAGGAAAGTTTTATTATTTTGATCCTAATACCAACCAAAATATTACATAACAAAGACTTCCCACAAATATTAGCTAATTAGTATGCATTAACACGTTCAAATTGTACCCTAAGATTTCAATCAGACCTGATTTTTTTATATGCTACTTGGAATATCTAATGAATGAAAAAATGGTACAAATGTCACATGCTTTAGACACTTGAACATCACAAAGGCATTTTCTATGCTATAATTTATATTGGATCTGACTCCGCGCTTTTTTTTCTTTTGAAACTTCTATGCCACCAACCTTTACTCCAATCACACCATGTGTTGCAATTGTAACTATCTTATGTGAATGGAAACCCCATAAGATTAAATCAATATACATTTTGTCTAAATGTTCTTCAAAGTAAAATCATGTATGTGTAGTATACACAATTACTCAGTTTTAAAAATACACGAGTGTCTGCAGGCCTAATATTAGCAGGAAAGGTTGAGTTTTCCTTATGACCTTGGGTGTTGACTTCAAAAAGTTCCAAGTACCGGAATTTATCAAGGAAAAAATGTATAGGATAATTAAAAAAACAAGCCTTCAGCTAAGTCACCTTTTCTCAAACCAGCCTTAAGTATATATGATTAATTCAGCATGTGATGGTATTATGTTACCAGCCATTGCTTAATTAAAAATAAGGGAACACTTTCCTTTTTCAGGTTAAGTGTATCTGCAAAACGGATCGTTATTTTGTGGCGAATTCATGTGAATCTACACGACGTGGCTGCTAGTTCTAATCACTTTTTTTCCTGTAAGAGTAATTTAATAATGCTCGTTTATTATTGTCATTCTGAAATATTTATATTTCGTCCCTATCCCCCACACACACAAACAAACACACCTTGAAATAGGTTTATACCACAAATACATGCATTTTAGTCGTCCCCCCTTATAAAATCAAGGACGGAACGGATGTTCCTTTGAACAGTTCTAATCATAGGTACTCGGTGCAACTCGGTACAAGTTTACTTCCCCCCTTTAAAAAAAATAAAGGAAAAGAAAAAAGGCGGCTATACCTGAGTGAGACAGATGGGAGAATACATCATGACTTCGCTCTAAGATAGCACTTCTGCCGAGAGGAAAAGTATCAAAAGCGCAACGGCTTCATCTATTCATTTTACAATCATCTAACGCTTCCAAAAGGAAAAGATGGATCCGGAGAAAGCTCTGCTTTGAATCGCCACAACTTCGCAACCAGCCCCGGTCCTCCTTAAATAGCCAAAGATTCAAGTTCACTCCGAGCGCTAGATTTCCCGGGGTGAAATCCAATCTACACTTTTAACCCTCTTGTTCTCGGCGGCGGTTCACTCTCGCTGCTGTTTTGCAGTGGCTGCTGGTGAATTGGGACAGGAGGCGGAATGGGGATAGGGGGTGGGGGTTGAATGGAATGCAGGGAGTTAAGGGGGGGGAGGTTCGGGATATTTTTTTTTCCTTCCTTCGCGTTGCTTTTTTCCCCTTTCTCCCGGATTTCCAAGCGCTTTGGAAAAGCAGCTAGCGGGATACACCACGGTACTATCAACCACGTTGCCAAAGTTCAAGGTTGCAGCGGCGGAGCAGGAAAATCCTGGCGTATCCTGGCAAGCGAAACTTTGCAACAGCCCTGTGCAGTAGAGCGCCAACCCTGGAGTGTGTGTGTGCGCGCGCGCGCGTCCCCCAAGGCTGCAGAAACAGTTCGCAGCAGCAGCAGCCTCTGCCTCCCTCTCTCTCCCTCTCTGTGTGTCTCTCCACCCCCTTTCTCTGTGGATAATGTTCAGAGCCTGCTTTTCAAACGCCCACTGTAATAAAAATGATCTCTTGAAAATTCAAAACGATCAATCTCTGGTTTCCCCTCCTCCTCCCTTACACTCTTTCCCCTTTCTTCGGTGTACTGGTTTCTGCAAGACCTGGAAGTTCAGCAGAGGGGGAGGGCATTTTTACCGCCTTTCTCTGGCCCTTCCTTCGTTGTAGCTTTCTCAAACACTTTGGAATTTCGGTTTATTATTTAATTACACAATCGATGCATACATCCCCCCCCCCCCAGTCGCTGCTGCTGCTGCTGTAAATGCACCTCTTCCGAGCCCCTTCCTTTCTCCTCTCCCTGCCTTTCCTCTTTAATCACTGCCGTACAGTACTTAGAGCTTGGCCACACATTTTCCCAAACGCGCTTTGCTTTTGCACACACTCACTTTCCTTCCCCTTTCCGGGGGGGACTCAAAAGCGAGCTCATTGGGGGGGACGACTGGGGAGCGTTTTCCTAGTTCAAGTTCTGAAAGAGCGCGGCAACAACACCGCCCGGTGGAAAATTCCTTCACAGGGGGGGGAGAAAGGGTGGGGCGAAAGAAACCCCAACCCGATCTGTCTGCAGATCCTGAATCTCGCCGATCGAGGGGAAGGGGCTACAAAGCGGGAAAGTTTTTGCCTCTTCGCTAACGATTAGACAACAGGAACGGGAGGGGGGTGTCGGGGTGTGGAGGAAATGTGCGTTGGCGGCTCTTCCCCTGCATACGTTTGCAGCCTAGGCAGCGTCTGGAAACCCGCGACCCCGTCGCCTACATGTGGAGCAAGGTCACCGAACTGAAGACTCGCTCAGATTTCTCCCTCACTCCACCCTGAAAAGTGAAAGCCAGCCTGCTCTTTGCAAACCCTGTGGTGGAAAGGCGCCATGCTCGTAGGGAACCCCTTCCACGTGGCCTCCATCCCCGCCCGAGACTTTCGCTCCTGCCTGTGTCTGATTTGTGGGGGTCCGTTTCGGGCAGCAGCCTTTTCCACCAGGGTGCGAGGAGGAAATGGGTGGCGGGCCCCCTGAGGGAAGCAAAAAAGAAAAAGAAAGCCAGCTGCTGGAGCAATAGGCCCGTCTGCTTTCAATCTCACCCACCAGCTCGTGCCAAGAAGAAGTTCGCGCCCGCGGGTTTTTTGTTTTTCCAGGAATGCAACCATATTAAAGCACACACACGCACTCACTAACGACGTTCTCACACTCGCCCTAAGGCGGGAAGTCAGTTTGAAGAACGTTTTTTTTCCCCTTCGCACCCCCATGTGCGTGCTTGCGAGGGGTGCGCTACCATTGATGGATTTATCTGAAAGTGGATTCGAGAGTAGGAAACGTTCTCGTTTTGGGCGCCAAGTTCTGAAATCGCCCCGATCTCTGCTTTAAAACTTTCCTTTCACTTATCAGACGCAAAGTCTCCCGTTCTTGGAAGAGCAAAGAAAGTGACCACAAGAAATACAAACGGGACGGAAAGCCAAGTGCCAAGAGGGTGCCCACTGGCCTTGCATTTCCAACTACACCTACATTATTCCTTCTTAAGGCTTTATGGGGCTTAGGAAACAAAATCCAAGCTTTTCTTCCCCGCCTTGACACCTGCGGACTTTGATCCGAGGAACGCCCAGGCAAAGCAAACCCGAGCCTTTCCACAGAAGCCCGTGTAGACGGACTGCATTGAGGTCACCAGCCCAAAAGCATTGTGTAACTCTTCCGTCCCGCCCGGCCCGGCCATGAGAAACCGCCCCAAGCATGAGGGAGTGAGATTGCCCAAGTCAAGCTCCCTCCACAACCAGCACTTGCCTGCCTCAGGTAAACTGGTCCCTGTGCGTCTTCCTTCGGCCCCTTTTCCCTCCCCGTCTATTTGCAAAGGGCCAGCTGACTTTCGCGTTTGCAAAAAATGCATTTCTCCGGGTCAAGCATTTCCCCACGAAACATCGACGGGAGGCAGGTTCAAGTCAACCATGAAATGGTCACTTTTTAACCCCGTCCTGTCCTCATTAGGGAAATATTCAAACACAGCCTGTTCTCAAAGGGGGCTCTTAATGAGGGTGACTTGCCAAAGCAACCAGCTGCAATTCTCATAAATTTACAAACTGAAAAAAAGGGGGGGGGTGAAGGGGCTCGGACAAAGCAGGTAATGTCAAAGCAAGAAACGAAGTTCATCTTGTTAAGTCTTAAAAAGCAGCCCACCTTAATGTAGGTGCAATTCCAAAGGGGTAAAAGAGATAAATTATATTCTTTCATTAAAGAATGGTATTAGGAACAAAACTCTACATATAATACAAGATGTAGCAAATTTATTTATGAATTTATCACACAATTTTCAAAATCACCTTAAAAATGTCATGAGCCTGTTTTCCTTATGGCCTGTGAATGTATTTTCACTAAATTTCTTTGCTCAAAATTATTTATTTCAACTGTTTTGACACTTGCATAAGGCATTATTTTGGGCATCAGTTGAAGCCAATAGTCTTCCATTTTCCTTTTGATTCACAAATTACAGAAATGTTCTATAAGCACCTGGGCTTACACTGTAAACTAGAAAGGCAGAAACAGGAAGTAGAAACTAAAGTAAATTAAGAACTAATACCAGTATACACATCATAATAAGGCATTGTTTATTTAGCTGTGGGGTTTTTTTAGGGAAAAAAACCACATTTAGTTGGGTTTGGACAGCACACTAAGCCATAACCATGAGTGGCTGGATTCATACAACACAATAAAGCAAGATCAAATGAATTGCATTGTGGCTGAGTTTACATAATCCATTTTAAGCCATAGTTTGGTTAGGTTGGCTTGGGCTCAGCATACTAGGAGTGTTCAACCATGTAATGCAAACCATACTGGTTTATTACTATAAATTATGGCTTTGCATAGTTTGAACCTAAAAATTATGGGTTACTGAATAAACCATGGTTAAGCAAACCACTGCTTATAAAAATCAGTGAAACCTGAGATTGCAAGAGATGTGTGTGTCTGTGTGTGTGTGTATGTATATGTAAGTATATATGTATATGTGTGTTTTCGTAGATTTTCACAGGTGTAGGTATGCTGGTCTTGTTGTATTCAGGTCTTTTCCCATCTAAGATTGAGATTGTCTTGGCAACGATTCAGTGAGGTCTCATTCACCATCTTCAGGCTGGGTTTTGGGCTTAAAGCCCAAATTTAAGCCCAAAACTCAGCCTGAAGATGGCAAGCGAGACCTCGCTGAAACGTTGCCAAGACAATCTCAATCTTACACGGGAAAAGACCTGAATACAACAAGACCTCTGTGTGTGTGTGTGTGTGTGTGTGTGTGTGTGTGTGTGTGTGTATAAGATTTTTATTTATCAGCACAAATACAACAATATATGTATGTATGTATGTATGTATGTATGAATGTAGGTCTCTAGTTGTTCGGGTTTTCTCCCGCGTAGAATTGGAGGTGTCTTGGCGACGTTTCGACGAAGTCTCATTCGTCATCTTCAGGCTGCTTCAGACTACTTCAGGTTTGGTGTTTCCAGGAGTAGTGTGAGATCTCGGCTGTTTGTTCCTTTTAACTGCCAGTAGGGGATTAAATTTTAACTGCCAGTAGGGGATTAAATTTTAACTGCCAGTAGGGGATTAAATTGATTGGGTGGGGGCTTGGCTGTGTCTTGATTAGGTGGAGGTGTGTCCTTATTGGGTGGGGGTGTGTAAGGACACACCTCCACCTAATCAAGACACAGCCAAGCCCCCACCCAATCAGTTTAATCCCCTACTGGCAGTTAAAA